TAGGTAGTGAGGTGGGACCACTGATCATTAGTCTGGCCATGGTGGTGATGAGAGAGTCAGAAGATGGGTTAGAAAGTGTCCCAACCAGGCTCCAGGTGAAAGTGGTGGGTAAAGAAGCCCCTGCAGCTGAGGGTGCCGTGGTGCCCTGGGCTGGCTGTGTTGGAGCAGAAGATGAGGCCAGGGCTGCAGCTGAAGCAGCTGGATGGGAAGATGGATGAGGCTGCTTCAAGGAGCAGGTTCCCTGCTGCTGTTCGTGAAGGACCACAGGTTTGGGCTGGGTGGTGGCTGCAGTGGTCACGGCAACTTTTGGTAGTGAGGTGGGACCACTGATCGTCAGTCTGGCCTGGGTGGTGATGAGAGAGGCAGAAGATGGGTTAGAAAGTGTCCCAGCCAGGCTCCAGGTGGGTAAGGAAACCCCTGCAGCTGAGGGCGCTGTGGTGCCCTGGGCTGGCTGTGTTGGAGCAGAAGATGAGGCCTGGGCTGCAGCTGAAGCAGCTGGATGGGAAGATGGATGAGGCTGCTTCAAGTTGCGGGTTCCCTGCTGCTGTCCATGAAGGACCACAGGTTTGGGCTGGGTGATGGCTGTAGCGATAGCGTCAAGTTTCTGTATTACGGTGAAATCACTGACCCTCTGTCTGGCCAGGGTGGTGGTGTGAGAGGCAGAAGATGGCTTAGAAAGGGTCCCAGCCAGGCTCCAGGTGGAAGTGGTGGGTAAGGAAACCCCTGCAGCTGAGGGTGCTGTGGTTCCCTGCGCTGGCTGTGTTGGAGCAGAAGATGAGGCCTGGGCTGCACCTGAAGCGGCTGGACGGAAATATGGATGAACCCGCTTCAAGGTGCGGGTTCCTTGCTGCTGTCCATGAAGGACCACAGGTTTGTGCTGGGTAATGGCTGCAGCGATAGCATCAAGTTTCTGTAGTACAGTGAAATCACTGACCCTCTGTCTGGCCAGGGTGGTGGTGGGAGAGGCAGAAGAGGGGTCAGGAAGGCTCCCAACCAGGTCTGCAGCCCAGGTCAACTTTCTTTTGGTGCGGGGGCTCGAGGTGGAAGTGGTGGGTAAGGAAGCCCCTGCAGCTAAGTGTGTTGTGGTGCCCTGGTCTGGCTGTGTTGGAGCAGACAATGAGGCCTGGGCTGAGCCCTGGGAATGTGCAGAGGTGGCAGGAAGGGTGTCTGAGGAGGATAACAGGGGACCTGCTGACCTGCGTTTCCTCCCAGACACAGGAGGTCTAGAGGGGGACCCTGCAGCAGATGCTTGGAGGGCCACGGGGTCCAGGCCATCTTGGGACGTGCGTCTCTCCTGCTGTGCCTCTGTGCTGGATGCTTTAGAGACAGCAGGCAGAGAAGATGTCCCTATTGCCGGTGAGGACAAAGCATGGCACAGCAGTGAGGCTCTGCACTCCCAGAGGGACTTTTCCTCACCCTGCAGTACACTATTAAGGCACATGATTTCAGCCTTTATCTCCAGGTCCAGGTCTTCAGCGGTGACCCGGAACCCCAGCTGTAAGGGAGATGGCAGCCTCAGAGGCTCCCCTTGCCTGCGTTGCAGCAGAGGGTACTTTCATCTATGAGGCCTAGAGGCCTGAGATGTCGGGGAGCCACTCCTGGGGGCCAGTTTCTCCCCAGGTGCTGAATCTGCTGCCTTTTCACACTGGGCCTGACCCTGAGAGACAGCCTGAGGGCTGACCTCAGTCACTGCCTTTGAAGAAGTGAGGGGCAGCTGGCAGTCGGATGAGGCTGGCCCCTTCCCCCTCTTTACCCACGGGAAGCCTCCTGCGGAGCTGGAGGAGCTGGAGATGGAGTTGCGGCAGTAGCTCATCCCGGAGGGCTGGGATTTCTTTTCAGATGGCATTTTTGACCTCTGGATATGGAGGTCTCTCTGCAGGGGCCCGGGCCTGGGTACAAAGGGAGAGAGGCCTCCACTGTCCCGCAGGGGTCTAAATGCAGACCCTGCATCCCTGGTGCCCTCAGGGCCCCCTTTCTGATCATCGGGCTTTTCTTGGACTCTGGGGTTTTTTTCCTGCTTACGCATCCCTGCCCCACTCTCCATGAGGGCCCTCTACATGATCTCTGGATGGGAGTGTAGGGTAGAGCTGGGTGTTCTGGGCCACAAAAAGGTGATTACCTTCTCCAGGGCCTCTCTGAGAGTCCTTAGGGCACTGGCTTGCTGTGGTACCTGGGCCTCAAATTGAAGGCAGGATCTCCGTACAGAAGGCAGGGCTTGAAGAATAAATCCTTGGAGTTGTTTCCACACCAGGCTGATTACAAGTGTCTGGGTAGGAAGGCTTGCCACTCCGTCCAGGGGCAGGAGCAACGGAGAGATCCCGCAAGCCAATGAAGTGAGGGATGCGGGCAGCAGGCTCAAGGAAACTGAGTCCTACTGCTGGGTCCTCAGCCCCGGGAAGGGACCGGGACAGGGATAAAGGGCACAGAGTGCCCAGGTAACCGCTGCTGGGCGCAGTGGCTATTTTCGGATCGTTGAACTCTTGACAGCTGGACTCTGAGCGTCCTGCGAGCAATGGCGGCGAGGGATGGAGCGGGGTAGAAGGGGCGCCTGATAGGTACTGGAAGGAGAGGCGCGTGCACAAAGGACGCCAGACGTTAACTGTTTGGCCGGCAGGGTTCGCGCACAAGGCACCTGATGGCAATGGAAGGGGCGGCGCGCGCGCTCGCGGTGTTCTGTAGGTAGAGGCGCGCGCACTAAGGACCTGGGACCTTAACGGATTGGTGCGGCAAGGTACGCGCACAAGGCAGCTACTGACAACCGTGGGATTGGGGGCGGGGTAGGGAGCGGCGCGCGCGCTAGGTACTGGAGGGAGAGGCGAGCACAAAGGGCTCGGATTCTTAATGGATTGGCGTGAAAAGGCGCGCGCACCAGGCCATGATTATCAGTCTACGATTATTAGTATCTCTAAACTTTTGCTCATGCTGTCGTCTCCCTTCCTGGAAAACCCTCCCCACCTCAAGGGTTACTTCCTCCAAGAAGCATTCCTAATGGTCTTCCGGCTGCCGGCCTCCTAGGCACCGCTGCCGCCACTGCCGGGGCCCAAGACCTCTGCAGCACTACGGACAGCGCTCACTCGCTCATTCGCAGCCGGCGCCTCTGCCGGCATCGTTTCAGGACCATGGACAGCTCCTGGCGCAACCCCAGCCAGGCCCTGGCGGCAGGGATCACACACCCCAGGCGCTCCATCAGCACCTGGGCACACTTGGGGCCAAGGCCAACAATACAAAACATTGGCCGGGTGTGGTGTCCCACACTTGTAGTTTGAGATATCTGGTCGACTGTGCGCCCCTCTCCTCCCGCCTCGGCTCTCCCCCGACCCCCATTGCCAGCAGGTGCCTTTTGCGCGTACCTTGCCGCACCAATCCCTTAACGTCCCGGGCCCTTTGTGAGCGCGCCTCTGTCTCCAGTACCTATTTTGCGCGCCGGGCCCTGGACCCCACTTTTCCCGTCCTTGCCAGCAGGTGCCTTGTGCGCGTGCCTTGCCACGCCAATCCATTAAGATTCCGAGCCCTTTGTGCTCGCCTCTCCCTCCAGTACCTAGCGCGCCGCCGCTCCCTACCCCGCCCCCAATCCCACGGTTGTCAGTAGCTGCCTTGTGCGCGTACCTTGCCGCACCGATCCGTTAAGGTCCCAGGTCCTTAGTGCGGGCGCCTCTCCCTACAATACACCGCGCGCGCGCGCGCCGCCCCTTCCATTGCCATCAGCTGCCTTGTGCGGGAACCTTGCCGGCCAAACCGTTAACGTCTGGCGTCCTTTGTGCGCGCGCCTCTCCTTCAAGTACCTATCAGGCTCCCCTTCTATCCCGCTCCCTCCCCCGCCGCCATTGCTCGCAGGTGCCTCGTGTGCATATTTTGCCCCCGACTCCGTATTGTCAGCGGGTGTCTGGCGCGCATACCTTGTCACGGGGATCCCGTAAGGTTGCCCTTCCTGCGCCGATCTGTCACTCGCGCCCGTCTTTGCACTCGCCCCACTCGCTCAGATTTGAATGACGAGTTTCCTGGCAACAGGAAGTAATAAGGAAAGGATTTTCTATTTATAATAAATGGTGTTGGGAACACTGACTAGTCATATGCAGAAAACTGAAACTGGACCCCTTCCTTTCACATTATACAAAAATTTACTGAAGATGGATTAAAGACTTAAACATAAGATTTAAAACCATATAAACCCTAGAAGGAAACCTAGGCAGTACTGTTCAGGACATAGGCATGGGCAAAGACTTCATGACTACAACACCAAAAGCAATTGCAACAAAAGCCAAAACTGACAAATGGGATCTACTTAAACTAAAGAGCTTCTGCACAGCAAAAGAAACTCTCATTAGAGTGAACAGGCAACCCACAGAATGGGAGAACATTTTTGCAATCTACCCACCTGACAAAGGCTAATAGCCAGAATTTACAAGAAACTTCAGGAAATCTACTTAAAAAAAAAAATCCTGGCCGGGCTCACGCCTATAATCTCAGCACTTTGGGAGGCTGAGGCGGGTGGGTCATGAGGTCAAGAGATCGAGACCATCCTGGTCAACATGGTGAAACATCAGGGGAAAAAGAAAGTTCGTGAGACAGCTGAAGATCTGAGATCTGTGGAGGTCTCTATCTTTTGGATGAAATCAGTCTGCCTCCTCAGGCGTATGACCTAATTCTCATATGAGGCTGGGCTAATCCATTATCTGAGCTTCATGGGGTCTTTGCCTATTATTCTCAAGGAATCCTTAATGAAGATAGGATCCATTTTTGCCCCCATACAGAATTGTCATTACCTTTGAGGTTCACAGGCTAATCACAAATGCTACATCAATTATTGTTCTGCAAATAACATATTACTTTGAGTGGTTCCAAAGGTCTTGTGTTTATTGGCTGGGAATTTCCAATAGCAATGAGGATTTAAGAAAGAGGTTGCTAGTGAAGAGCTCACCAGCAACATCTGGAATAGCAGACCAAAATTGTGCCCTCATCCTGGGGCACAAATCAGGTGTTGCAGCTGAGGGACTGTGGAAGAAGAGCTGCAGTGGCCATTCCCTTCACCTGGCTGCCTCCTCTACTCTATAGGGCACTGAGCCCAATGGAGATGGATGGGAGTGGAGTAGCAGTGATGTGATGAATTACCTTGCATGGGAGAGAAATCCCTCCACTGTCTCAAACCCCGGCCACTGTACGAGCCTGTCAAGAAGCATGGGTAAGAAACAGAGCAATGGCCTCTTCCCAGTGTTTTCCATCTCATCCCCCATTCCTGGGTCCAGCTTTCAGGAAATCTTCCTGAGCTAGAAAATACATCTCTCATCTCCTCTCTTCTCTGCTTTCTTTGAATCTTTCTCCTGGATTGGGACACTGATGAAGGTGAGGGAGAGGCTTTAACTTCTAGGCTTAAACCTGGGATGCCTCTTCATTGGTTTCCCCATATTACTCAGTCCCATTCCATTTATGTCTTCTGTCTCTCCAGTATTTCTGAAGTGGAAAGATTATAACTGCAATGTGAGGTTACCCTATGTCTGCAAGTTCACTACCTAGGGCAGGAGCAAAGTCAGCAGCCTGCGTTTGGTGTGGAACTCATCATGAGCATGAACCCAGTGTGAAGACATCCTGGAAGAGAATATTCACTTAATTCCCCCCAGATATGACCACGTCATTCTTATCTTCCTTCTGTTTCTTCCTTCTCACTTTCATTTCAGTCTCTTCATTTTGTCATATGGCCTAAGGCTTTAGAGAGCAATAATAAAATTTTTAGTCTGCACTTGCTGTCTTGTATGTGCCAATGTCACTTTGTCCTGAGAAGGACAAAGTGTTCAGGGGGGAGAAAACTTTGTGGGTCTTGGTTCTTCCCTATTTTACACAGGCCTCTAGGGAAAATGATGAAATGTGCATCCTTACCAGTGTGTTATGATGAGGTTGTGGGTCTTGCTCATGTAGGATTTTTGTTGTGGGGAGATGAGGACATTTCTTTCCCATGTACCTACTGCCCTCCCATTTCCACAGCCCAAACCTGATAGTGTGACATGACAAGCTTAGGAGGCTCTGGTGGTGTTTAGAATAGAACTTCTTAGAGAATGACATCAGCAGGATGGTAGATAGCACTTTCCAGCTCTCAAACCTTCACAGAAACATTCATTTGAACTACTATCCATTAAAATGGAAATACCTTCAGAAAAGCTAATAAATCCAAGTGAGTGATTAAAGCATCTGCATGTTGCAGAAAATAAGAAAAGATGCATTGAAGAGGGTAGAAAGAACACTTTTCCATGATTCACATCACCCCTCCCTCAATCTCAGGAAGCACAACATGTAGAGACATTCTCTCAACTTGGGGAAAGAGAGTGAAGTAAGCATGGTCATCAGGAGGTGGTTGTATAAAGCAGGTATCTAGACTGATCACATTGAGGAACTAGGAGTAGGTGGAAAACTGGAAATTGTGTCAAGGGTGACTGAGTCCTGCTTTTTTTTTTCTTTTTCTTTTTGAGATGGAGTTTTGTACTTGTTGCCAGGCTGGAGTGTAATGGTGAGATCTCACCACAACCTCTGCCTCCCGAGTTCATCGATTCTCCCACCTCAGCCTCTCAAGTAGCTGGGATTACAGGCATACACCAACATGCTGAGCTAATTTTGTATTTTTTAGTAGAGACAGGGTTTCTCCATGTTGGCCAGTCTGGTCTCAAACTCAGGTGATCCCCCCATCTCAGCCTCCAAAAGCTGGGATTACAGGTGTGAGCCACCATGCCCAGCCAAGTCCTGCTTTTTAAATGAGAAAGGCTAACCTATATTTAAAATGAATGCTGAGGCAGCATACAGTTCTAAAAGTTTCACCAGGTGCAGTGGCTCATCCTGCAAGCCCCACACTTTGAGAAGCCAAAGCTGGAGGATCACTTAAGCACAGGAGTGTGAGACCAGCCTGGGCAACATAGCAAGACATTGTCCCTACAAAAAAATTTTTTTTAAGTGAGCCAGGCATGGAGGCACACACTCCTGTAGTCGCAGCTACGTGGGGGACTGAGGTGGGAGAATGGCTTGAGCCCAGGAGATCAAGGGTGCAGAGAGCCATGCTTGCACCACTGCAGTCCAGTCTGTTGAGACAGAGTGAGACCCGATCAGAAAAAGAAAAGAAAATACCCTGAGTCACAAATGCATTGAATACACCTAATCTAGAGGACATCATAACTTAGCCCAGCCTACCTTAAACATGCCCAGAACACTTGCATTGGCCTACAGTTGGGCAAAGTCATCTGTCCATATAGCCAACTGTAGAGTATAGGTCATCCAGCCTAGTGATCCTGTGGCTGGAAGAGCTGCAGTCGCTGCTGCTGCCCAGCATCACAAGAGAGCATCGCACCACATTTGACTCCCCTAGGGAAAGATCAAAATCCAGCATTCAAAGTACAGCTTCTACTGAATGCATATCTCTTTCACATCATTGGTAAAGCAAAAAAACTTAAGTTGAACCTTCGTAAGTCAGGGGCTTTCATGACAATGTCACCTTTTGTTCTGGGCCCCACTCAAAACTGATAGCCTTTTAAGTTATTCAGAAAATGGATCAGAGAAGAACATTCAAATGTGGTATACGTTGCCTCCAAAATCCAAACCCACTGGACATCGTGCCTCTTTCTTAGTGGTAGTAGGGCCCAGTTCAACATGTCCCAGATCATAAGGCCCCCAGAAGTTTCACTGAATTTTTGTGGGATTTATTTCCCACCCTCTGGCACACATATGTCTCATCAAGGTGGCTAGAATAATTACTACTTCTAATCAGCATATTATCAAGATATTAGACCAGTGCGATATCCTGTGGAGCAGAGAAGAGGTCTCTGCAAACTAGATGATGACAGATGACTGGGAGTTGATATAGTCCTGAGTTTGGGTAATGAATAGGTATTGCCAGCCCTGTCAGCTCAGAGGAAACTGCTTTTGATGGTGTTTACTAAAACTTACTGAGGAAAAAAACATTCTTCAGATCAATAGCTGCATACTTTGCTCCAACGGATGCATTGATTTGCTTCTGAAAGAAGGCTCACCTAGAATAGGAGCTGCAAATGGAGTCACAACCTAATTGAGTTTATGATAATCCACATCATTATCTAGGATCCATTTTGGATCTGCACAGGCTAGAGAGCTAAGTTTAATGGAAATCATCAGCTCTGTATCTTTCAAATAATTGATTAGTGGTGGCACTAATCTCTACAGTCTCTCTAGGAATGCAGTGCTGCTTTTGACTTACTGCTTTTATAGGTAGAAGCTAATATTTATATGGTTTATCTTCTTTTTTTCTTTTCTTTTTTCTTTTTTTTTTTTTTTTGAGATGGAGTCTTGTTCTGTCACCCAGACTGGAGTGCAATGGCACAATCTCGACTAACTGCAGCCTCTGCCTCCTGAGTTCAAGCGATTTTCCTGCCTCAGCCTCCCGAGTAGCTGGGATTACAGGCACATGCCACCAAGCCTGGCTAATTTTTGTATTTTTAGGAGAGATAGTGTTCTACCATGTTGGCCAGGCTGGTCTCAAACTCCTGAGCTCAAGTGATTTGCCCACTTTGGCCTCCTAGAGTGTTGGGATTACAGGCATGAGCCACCGCTCCTGGCCTCTTTCCTTTTGTTTGAGACAGGGTCTCAGTCTGTTGCCCAGGCTGGAGTGCAGTGGTGCAATCACAGCTCAACTGCAGCCTCAGTTTATTTCTTTCAGCCTCTATTTTTCATTTTCTTTTTCAATTCAGCATCATTTATATTGTCTCTGAAACTTAGCTTCCTTATCTATGAAATACAGATGATGCCAGCCTTACTTGTGTTCAGGGGTTGTTGTAAAGTTCAAATGAGATTGTGTTAAAATACACTGAAAATTGTAGAACCCTCTACAGGGTGTAAGGAATAAATGCTAGAATTATTATTGCCTCCTCCCATCTCCTCTTATACAGAAAACTGAGATTATAGTCCCCTTGTTACTCTTTCAATCTATGTTTTTTGTTGTAAGTACTTGGAATCCACTCAAAGTACTTTAAGCATAAATAGGGAATCAAATTTGAAAGATCCAGGAGTGTCTCAAGAAGCTCAAAATTCATGGGCAGGAAAGGTACTTACATGTCATGTGGTGGTGGAAAATGAACCGAAAAGGCATTAGGAACCGTGGTCGAGAGTGCGCCTCTCTCATCTCTGACTGCGGAGATGCTGGGAGCAGAGAAAGGCCCCCTGCTGTTGGGCTTTGAACTCTGTCACTGCATTTGCCCTGAGATCACCTTTCCTGTGAGCTGCTCCCACCCGGTGACTGAGTGCAGCCCTGCCATACTAAGGCAGGCCCATTTCTGGAAGATGGGGGACTCCTCTGAGAGGAGATGCAAGCAGGCCACATCAGCTCTGCCAAAGCTTTGGCTCAAGCAGGCCACATCAGCTCTGCCAAAGCTTTCTTAGAACTACACTACCTTTTAAGCTGGGCACTGTAATCGTGTGTAGTCACAGCTACTCACGAGGCTGAGGCAGGAGAATTCTTGAGCTAAGGAGTTTGAGGCCAGCCTGGACAACATAGGGAGACTGTCTCTGAAAAAAAGAGAAAGGACTACACTGTGTTCTAACACCTTAACCCTTCCCATCTCCTCGAAGGGGTTGCACCTCTACTGCAGCTCTCCCAGGCTCTTTCCAGCTTCCTCCCATTCCCTTCACAAGTATTTTCCCAGCACATCTCTTGTACATTTAGTCCTATCTGGGCATCTCTCAGAAGACTGGAACCTTAGGACAGGAACCTAAGTAATTCCTCTTTTGCAGCTCCAAGTCTATGTGAACTCCTGCTCATTTTCTTTCTACGTTTCTACTTCCTTTCTGCTTGACTCTTCTTTCACCCAACCCCTGAGGAGTCTGAGGTGGGAGGATCACTTGAGCCCAGGAGATTAAGGCAGTAGTGAGTTAGTGAGCCATGATCTCCCCACTGCACTGGCCAACAGATTGAGACTGTCTCAAAAAAAAAAAAGAAAGGAAAAAGAAAAGAAGAACGAAACAATTAGACAAGAACCACTTCATTTTCCCATCACCAAATCTACCAACCCATACCTGGACACACACTGCCTTTGTTCCTTTTAAGATGAAAACCCACCAGATAAGTGTGCTCCCTGGGGTGATTTGTTATTCCACAGTAGATAACTAATACAACCAGCTAACACAAGAATGAAGAAGCAGACCAGGTGCACTGGCTCATGCCTGTAATCCCAGCACTTTGGGAAGCTAGGACAGATGGATTACTTGAGGCCAGGAGTTCAAGACCAGCCTGGCCAACGTGGTGAAACCCAAAAATACAAAATAATTAGTGGGGTATGGTGGCACACATCTGTGGGAGACTGAGGCATGAGAGTCACTTGAACCCGGTAGGTAGAGGTTGCAGTGAGCCAAGATCGCACCACTGTACTCTAGCCTGGGAGACAGTGAGACTCCATCTCAAAAATAAATAAATAAATAAAAATATTGCATACCGGTGAATAACAGAGATTAATGCCACCTTAAAAAAGGATGCAGTGGTAGTGGCCCCCCTCAAATCTCCACTTAATTCACCCATCTGGACCCTACGAATTCAGGTATATCCTGAAGTGTGAAAGTAGACTACAACAACAAATCAATAGCCCCAGTTGCAGTTGCTCTGACAGATGCATCCGTACTAGAGTGGATTTACACAGTGTACATCCACCTTACAGTGTAAGGTAACAGACCACTATCTGGCAAATGCACGATTTCCCATCCCCACCAAAAGGAAGATCATAAACAATAGATTTACTT